CCCATATTAGAGTAATTATATCCTAATAGTTCTCATCCTATAGTATTGTCCTAAATTTCTTGTCATACAAAAGAGGCTGGAGTATCTCTTCTTAGAAATAGTATGTACAGTCAGGATGAGCCTGGAACATTTTATGGTGCCAGAAATTAAGGAAGTGCTCAAAAAAAGAATAGGAATTGCTGAGAGGCCACACAGGAGCCAGTCTGAAGTAGTACTTAAAGACAAAAGCTGGAACAATTTGACTAATAAAATACACAATGATAGTATTGGATTTTTAACTCATAGAGTAACATAAATATCCATGAGTCCATGCTGATGTAAATAATTGAATAAAGAAATTAATGGAGGGGAAGGGACTGGTTTTGTTTTTGTTTTTGTTTTTTATAGAAGCATCCCAATTAATGTAGAAAGAGGGAAAAAGAAAATCATTGTTAGGCAAATATCACAGTAATAAATATTGCATAGAAGACCCCCTGATGGATGCTAAAATTAGGTCAGAGTTTGAGGAGAAATAGAATATTTGCATAGTCTCAAAGTATCTCTTCCCAGGATGTTTTTTTTCATTACAAAGAGAAATAAAGGTTTATAGTGGAGAAACCTGGTGGACTCCATCTTAAATAATCAAAGTTAACATCACTAGTGATGAAACATACTGACCTTATGAGCCCCTTGATACAGTGTGCTGAGGACACAAAATCATTTGTAATATTCTTTCCCCAAAGGCCTAAATTCATTCTATTCATGAGAAGACATCACCAAGCTTAAACTGAGAGACATTTTACAAAATATTGTATCGAAAGTTTCAAGGTCATGAAAGACAAGGAAAGAGTTGAGAGCTGTCACAAATTGGAGGAGAATCAGGAGAAATTACAAAAAGTTACAAAAATAAAAGAGTTCTCAGGAGTTCTCAAACACTCCTGAGCCAGCTTCCCCTAATATTAACATCCTATAGAATTATAGTACAGTCATCAAAATCAAGAAATTAACATTGGTAAAATAATATTAAATCACATATTTTGTTGAAAAAACTGGTGAAATTTGGAGTGGTGTCTTTTTTCTTTTCCAATATTATATCCAGAATTCTACATTGCATTTAGTTGTTTCTTTCAAAATATTATTGCCAGGACAGTTTTAAAACTCACTTTATTTTGTTTTCGTTGTTAAATCATTAATTAGTCTATTAATAGGTAATAAATTATTTATAAAGTGGCTATTAAAAGAATTTCCTGAAGGAGCAGTAGTCCTATTGCTGTTTTCTACCATACAATTATTGGGAATGGACTAAAATTTGAGGAAAATTTTTCTACTATTCTCTTTTTTTTATTCTGAGAAACCTCAGAATCACCTGAGAGTTTAGACTCTAAGTGGTTAACTTTAAGTTGTTTTTACTTTTAACCGTAACAGTTGAATAGCAGCTTGGTGTGTATGTATTACTAGCAATGCTTTAAGAGCCAGAGAGACTTGGGTCTCTACTGTTTCGGAATCTCACATTCCTTTTTTCTAAGTGAGAGAAATATGTAAGTAGGATAAAGAGAGATGGTTTATGTTTCTCCCTCTGAAGGGGTGATGAGTGAATATTTCTATTAGAATTATATTGCTCTAATATTGTGTCCAGTTAAAAATACTAAAATTTATTGTAGCAACATGAGCTCTCCAAAAGTAAATTCTTAATCATCTTATGTGATAACATTAATAAGATTCTTGAAATCATTTGTTAAAATGAGTTACCATCTAAATTTCACATTTATCCTTGAGAACATTCACAGTGTATTGATCCAGGTAAGGTCTTAACAGTTTAATTTGGTGTTTTCTGTGGTAAGCAAATCATCAATTCCTTATTAATAGCCATTTTTGTATATTATAAACTCACACTAAAATATCCAAGTTTTTACTGCCTTGTTTAAATTTTAGATAATAGTATATGTTACTTTATAAGATTCTTTATTTTAATACTTTGTCTAATATAATTTAAGTTGGATATCTAAGCATATAGTCCTTCCAAAGGTGTCTTTCCAAAAAATGGAAAAATAATATGAGGTTCAACTTGGCAACACATATGAAAAAGAGTATCTCTGAGTCACAAATGAGTCAAAGAGGGTGAGGTTTGTTTGTTTTTCCTTGTCCTCTTTTTAAGGGAGTATGATCTTAAGCAGTAGGGACAAAAAAACCTTTGATGAAAGGTGGTACTGGAATTTGTTCTTCGTTATTTAACTGGCGCTAAATGCAGATTTTCTGTGAATATACTGAAATATTTCATGGTGCTAACAAGATGGGTTTGATCTATTTTAGAGATCTGTGCCTAATTTGTAGGAGATTGGTAAGAGCTGATATTTCAAGGATTGAAACTGTTTTATACCTTAATATCCTGCAACACATCTAGTCTACAGTGCTGGCAAGTGGAAGTGCTTGAATAACTGCTTTTCTGGTGACAGTCATGACCAAATAAGTCAGTTTGTTCACTACCTAAAAGGTTTGTTTTTACCATTTGTTTTTGAAAGCTAGCTTTCTTAGATCTTGGTTAAAAATTTAATGGTTTTGCTTTCTAAGCTAGCCATTTTTCAATATTCTAGATATTTAGGTATGGCTTTCTCCAGCTGCTCACCTGGCATCAATCAACTGGGTGGTAAATACTGAGTAGTCTGTATCATCCTAGCTGGAAGGAAGGGATGGAGAAGAGGAGGAAATAAATTGGGGTGGGGTGGGGAGTGGAGAAACAGATACTACTGCCTTCTTACACACTTGACTGGCTTCTAAAAGAAGCTTAAGGTGAGTGTTAGCTGCATGGAGTACATGGGAATGGGAATGAATGGAAAGATTAGATAGTGCTCATTCCCTCCAAGTCATACTTAAGGTAAGTGCTTTTTAAGAAGACATTTATTCTCAAGGTAAAGTGTGATCCACTGGCACATTGCTTTGCCTTTGAGGAAAGTTTTAACTACTCATCCAGAACAAGTTTCAACTATTTTATAATATTTCATAAGATATTTAAAGCAAAAGAAAGTAAATGGATTTTAACTGTTGCTTTAATGGCTTTTGCCAGAGAGTTTATGATACTCACAGCTGTAAGATACGTAGTTAATAATACCCCTTTCGGGCCGGCCCGTGGCTCGGGAGAGTGCGGTGCTGATAATACCAAGGCCCCAGGTTCGAATCCCATATAGGGATGGCCGGTTCACTCACTGGCTGAGCGTGGTGCTGACAACACCAAGTCAAGGGTTAAGATCCCCTTACAGGTCATCTTTAAAAAAAAAAATAAAATAATACCCCCTTTCTTTAGTCAGAGAAAAACTGATAGGAGTCACATAAGTGGAGAGTTCAGGCAAGGACATCACGGCAGAGGTTTATAAAGGTAGTGGAGGTATAAAATTTATACTGCAGCAGAATTATACCAGGAGAAGGAAAAGGAAATGGAGGGAGAGATAAGATGGAAATTTAAATTGAAAAATAAGGCTAACTGTTGTCAAGGGCTTTAGATTTTTTATCCTGTTTATATCAAGAGGCCGCTAGAAATTTTTAAGCACAGGAACTAGCAATTTGGCTGAATTTGCCTTTTAGAAAGATTACTGTTGGCAGTGTAAAGAAGGATGGATTGAACCAAATATATTTATTTTGTGATTTGTGATTCCTCTATATTATTCTCCATTATTCTTACTATTCCTTATTTATTCAAGACTGTAGAATGCTGTCTTCTGGGATGGTGGGGTTTTCCAGGTAACTGAAAAATAATCCTTCAAGTGCCTCAATTTCAATTTCTTAATAGATAACTATTATCCATGACTCAGCTTCGGTAAATAGAATCGAATAAATAGTTTCCATAAATACTATGGTACTACATTTCTGTCTTCCCTCTTTTCATTAATGATACCCTCTAGAGGAAAAGAACCTGATTTCATCCACTTACTGTTTGTGGAGATGTTGTCTTTACTTTTCTACTTCTAATATACTTTAGTGATCTATTACATTCCAATTCCCCATCACCTTTTCTGGTTTGTGGTTGTAAACAAGGGCAAAACTGGAGATTGTGATAAGAAAATAGTTAATTAATCCTTGGTATGTATGTAAAATTAAGGGAAACATGGAGAGAGTAGCTCTTTGTGGAAAATCTATGAACTTTGAGAAACTCTTCTGAATGGTTTGCTGATTAGTGAGTGTCTGGTTAGATAAAGTAGAGTTTTACTTTAAGTATTTGATGGCATTTTGATCAATAAGCATAAGATGTGAAACACTTATAATTAATACTCACTTTAAACATTTGTTGAGCATCTATTATATGCAATATACAGAACACCAATGAAAAAGTCATGGGCTCTTCCCTGAGGTGGAGGAGACCTGTAAATAAATAAATTAAAAGCATTTGTAGGACTTTCATTACATTCTCCCCCTTCAAGAGTAAGGGTGTGTCTAATTTCATAATAGAAAATGGGAAAATAAGATTTATTTGAGCAGTTTGCTTTTATCATTTAAAAGAATCCTCTGGAAGAATATTCAAGAAACTGGCAACATTGCCTCCAAGGAATTGGATGTCATAAGGTGGGATGGGAGGGAAACTTTGAATTTTGAATACCCTTTGAATTTTGAACCATGAACTACTAGAAATAAAATAAATTAAAATTTAAAAAGACAAATGAAAATAAGAGTGCTTTGGTATAAAATAGAAATTGATTTAGCCTGTCTAGTAGGAACTCTGTGATCAGCTTAGCATTGTCTATCCTGGAATATATTGTGTGACCTTCATGATCAGCTTAGCATTATTAGTCCTGGAATATCTTGGTACTCAGCATACAGCTTTATGTTATGGCAGGTACAGGCAAACAGAAAGGTAACCAAATCAATATATTTATGATGTACTTTTTTTATTAGAATAAATTAAAGAGTATATATATATATATGTCTTCTATCAAATTGAAAATTAAACTTTTGAGTAACTCCTGGATTTTTTTTAATAACCATTATAAAATAATTTTTAAAAATCTTGCTACCTTTTTTTGGTTTACTTTTAGTTGATGCTGATGAAATTAAAAGGCTAGGAAAGAGATTTAAGAAGCTCGATTTGGACAATTCTGGTTCTTTGAGTGTGGAAGAGTTCATGTCTCTGCCTGAGTTACAACAGAATCCTTTAGTACAGCGAGTAATAGATATATTCGACACAGATGGAAATGGAGAAGTAGACTTTAAAGGTAAGAAAGTATTTTATTTTTTTAATAAATTAGATAACCTGTTGTAGTCTTATAGGTCTGTTTAAAAATGTCTGAAATTTTTTCTTAAACATCTTTTTGGTTTTGGTAATCTTATGATAATAGATTATGTTAAACCCCCCAAATCTGTGGTATATGCAACTTAATAAACCAAGTTCATAAACGAACAAGTTGTCCTTTAGGGTTATGTACAAAAAATGGGGAGAAGTTTAGCCTTTCCTTTGTTTTTAGAAAATTAATCTTACTTTAAGACAACTAAGAATATTAGAAACTCCATTTTTTTTTAACCTTTTATTAAAGAATGAGGCCTATACTTAAGTCAGCAGTAAAAAGTAAACTGCAGTAATAAAGATGTGACCATTATCATAAAACAAGATTAATTTATTTTAGTTAATCTGGATTTTACAAAGACACTCAATAGTGCTTTTGCTAATATTAACATGATACAAAATTTTATATTTGATTCTAAACATTTAAATAAACATTTCATTTCAGTAGGGAATTGTCAACAGATTTTGTTATTTTAATTTGGGGAACTGAATTATAAGTGAAGGGATCTAAAACTGATTGTGACTTAGTGCTTATCAGGCAATGAAGAAAAATGATCATTTGTCATGAAACTTCTAACAGTGTATTTAAATGATTGTGAATTTTGGAACAGAAATCTGAAAATATTTTTATTCTGGCAAAACAATTTATAGTATTTTATTTATAGTATTTTATAAAGCCCTTTTTGTTAGTTGTATTCCAAGAAGAAAGAGTTAAATAGCTTAAAGAATATGTTTTTGAGTGTTATGCTTCGCATAATAAAGTATTTGAATTGACTGACCTTAGAAAACTCCAAGTTCAAATAAGAAAAATATATAGAGAACCTTGTTTGTTGAGGTTTCAAATTTGCATTTTCAATTTTAAACACTACTAGTAATATTTTGTTTTGTAGCAAGGAAATTTCCTTTTGTGGGTATGTAAGGTAAATATTGTTTTTCTATGTAAAAAATGGAAAGTTCTAATTGTGAAAATTTTTAACCCTTATTCAGAATTCATTGAGGGAGTCTCTCAGTTCAGTGTCAAAGGCGATAAGGAGCAGAAGTTGAGGTGTAAGTATTTTTCTTCACTGACTTCATTCTTCCTCTTACACCACTACCATTTCATTCTGCGTTATAAACTTCTTTTAAAAAAATCAAAATGTTTTTTTATTTCAGATCCTTAGACATTACAGAAATTTTACATGCTTGTAAAAATCTTTTTCTCCGTTTGCAGCTAGTATATTTGTCATTGCTCCTTTTGGTTGGATAGAAGGAAAACAGAATTTCCTTTTACTGAAAACAGCCACATCAACTACATATATGATTTGGATAAGAGATTTTTGATGAAAGTGGGAAGAAATGTTATAAAAAACCTGAGAGGTTAGAACTGTTAATATCCCCAGTTTTATATTGGCAGAAACTGAAGCCTAGCAGTGTTAAATAATTTACCTAGGCTACACTAACTGGCCCAGTCAGTCTTGACTCCATGGCCCATCTCTTAACCAACTAGTTAAACTGTGCTTAAGAGCAACCTCTATATTTAAGAAAGAAACATCCTCAGTATCATAATCCTAAATGTCTGGCAGTTTACCGTTTTCTTGTTCATTGGAGGTATTTACTTGTAATTGCCCTATAATTGCCATTGATTTTTTTCCTCCTCTTCTTTTTTTAGTTGCTTTCCGGATCTATGACATGGATAAAGATGGCTATATTTCCAATGGGGAACTCTTCCAGGTGTTGAAGATGATGGTGGGGAACAATCTGAAAGATACACAGTTACAGCAAATTGTAGACAAAACCATAATAAATGCAGATAAGGATGGAGATGGAAGAATATCCTTTGAAGAATTCTGTGCCGTAAGTACAAAAGAGCTGTTTCTTTCATTAGTTGTGTTTTAAGGTATACTTTAAAAACTACTTAATAGAGAATTTATTTTAGGTATTTTGCCCTAAAAATTTATATATTTGATTTTGTGTAATTGCCCCATATTTAAGGTTTTGAAGTGTGTTTCATTGTGATTAATAATTAACAGCTTATTATTATTTTCAAGAATTAGTATTCTCAGTGACTATCATAAAATGCCACAGGAATGTTATTAGTAACTTTCATTTATTGTTGGTAGCACCCCAAATTACAGTTAGGTTATATTCTTAAGGTTCATTTAAAAATAAACTTTTTTTTTTTTTGGTGACTGGTAAGGGGATCGCAACCCTTGGCGTGGTGTCGCCCGCACCGTGCTCAGCCAGTGAGCGCTCCAGCCATTCCTATATAGGATCTGAACCCGCGGCCTCGGCGCTCCCAGCGCCGCTGTGCTCCCAGCGCAGCACTGTCCCGAGTGAGCCACAGGGTCGGCCCTAAAAATAAACATGTTTGAAAATACTTCAGATATGTGTTCATGAATTTTAGTTGGGAATACCAGAAACTTGGCTTCATTGGGACAACAGAAGTGGAGAGTTCCTGTCCATCTTAAAACTCATCTGTTAGGAACTAGGTGATTTTTCTCCCTTTCTTTTTCCAAGCTATTGAGGGGGTAGTTCTCATGTTCTGGGACAAGGACTCTATGCAGAGGTGGGGACTGCAGTTATGGGGAGCCCTAGAAAATTAATTCTAGGTGGAAACTGGGGCAACAGTTTAGCTTCTCAGTTTGCTGCCTTTCTTTAGTGGATCCAGGAATTTGCTACCACTCACTGCTCATGAGCACAGCCACTCAGCTTCTCTTTACTTGTGCCCTTAAAGCAAACATACTAACTAGTATTTTAAACTGCAAGCTAGAGATGCTAAATACTAGAGCATCCAGAGTAAAGGCAAAGATAAAAATGTTTAAAAACTTTTTAGTCAGTCATGATGGGATGCTTCTATAGGAAGGTTTTTCTTCTTCCTTTTTATTTTTTTATTTAAATCACACAAGGAAAAACAGGTGACTTTGATAGTTGTGTGTTATGCAAGGACTGAAGTGTAGCTACTTTGGCATTTCAGTAGAAGTCCCTAATATCCTTTAAGCTTCTTCCTCTGTGCAGGAAAATACTATTTTTGCATTTTGTTTCAGAAAGTAGAGTGGTGCTCTCGTATAAAGAATAGGCTGTGTCTTTTTGGGAAATTTAGATAGGATGTGACTTTAGACTCTTATCTGCTGCCAGGTGGTACTGCTACAAGTGTTTGCTATCCTTTCATTGTTTCTCCTCCTTCACCATTGCCAAAGATCACTGAAGGACTCCCATGGACTGGCATATGGTTGAGTGTTACATGAGATCAGACTGGTAGTGGCATCATAGAGAGTAGTGAGTTTTCAGAAGAAGGAAAGAAAGGAAGAAATCCCAAGCCTGGGGGAACAAAATAAATGGAAAACTCTTGGCTAAAGTGGTATGGAAATGGTGTATGTAAAAGAAGATTGCTTGCATTTGGTAAATATAAAATGTAAGATACACATCACTTATCAGTGGAAGGAAATTAAGACATTATGTATAGAAATGATGGTATTATCTATACCAAAGAAATAAGATAGGCTTTGAGTTTGTTTTCTAATATTTGTAATAAATTGCCTTTGCTTGTATTTTTGAGGGGCATGTACACGAGTGGAGAAAAATAAATCAGCTTCTTTAAGCATTGATCAAGCGTATAGATTTGACTTCATTTAGTTTTTTTTTATTCTGACTTCTCAAGCTATAAGTGATTGTGACAGGATTAAAGTTGGTGGATTGAACATACACTTTATTTTTGCTTCTTCCCAAAACTCCAATAAAATGAATGGATTAAAGAGAAAAGTTTATGAACTCACAAGGACAAATTGAATAGCAGAAAAGATAGCAACTAAATTTGGTAATTTAGAAAGCTGAGTGGTTAACTAACCTAGGGGAAAAATAATTCTAAACTATCAGCTTGGAAATCTGAGCACTGAAATGCTCAGAAATTAGTGGTATGAGTAACTCACAGTGGGGATGAAGGTGAGGCTGAAAACAAGATTGGTTAAAGTCTGTTTTAAGAAGCAATTGGAACACTAGATCTCCTTCCTTACCCTGTTTAGTTGGGCAGCTATCTCCTGCACCCTATGAGGAGACTGGGGAGAGTCTCTAGGCTGGGAAGCATGAGGCAGAGAGGGAGTGTGTGTGTTTGTGTGTGTTGGGAGGGGAGGGGCATGGAATTAAGTGAAAATAAGCATATTTGCATGTTGACACCTCTAGCCTTCCTAAGACCTGATTCCCTGGCATCTGGACTTAAACCCTCCAGGCAAGAGATGGGAGGAGCTCTCTTTGGGGAATCTCATCTTCCCAAAGAAACGGTCACATCATATCACTCAAAAGTGTAGTTCACAGTCAACACCACCATCATGTATGCAGAGGTTCCCTTTCCACGGAAACAGAGCCAAGGATCACCAGACACTGGTGGAAAATCTTTAATATGGAACACAGAGATGAAACCAAACCCAAAAAAGAAGCTTGGAAGAAACAGGTTAGGCAAGGACAGTAAAAATTTTAAAAGCAAAACACAAACCTGTTGTAATTATCCTCAGGGATAAAATATATTGAATCCTTGACACAAAAATTGGATAATATATGAAAGAGCTCTTGGAAGTTTAAATTAGAGATTCATTTGTGGGAGCTGTAATATCTGAATGCCCAGGATTCCAGAAAGAAAGTAGAGGGAAAGAAATCATAAAAAATGAATCAAGAAAATACCTCAGAACCAAAAGTTATGTGTTTCCTGACTGAAGGTCTTACTTAGTACCCAGCATAGTATATAAAAATAATCTAGACCTAGGCACATTGTCATGAAATTTCAAAACAGTGGGAACAAAGAGATGGTTCAAATTTCCAAACAGCTGTAGTAGGGTGGAGGGGAGGAAGAGGGGCTTCATACAAAGGATCTGGAATCATAATCGCACCAAATTTTTCAGTAGCAGAATTGGAAACCAGAAGATAATGGAGCATTGTCTTTGCAAATCTAAGGGACAGTTATTTCCAACTAAACTTCTCTACAAACTCAATTAATTTGTAGAATAAAGACATATTGAGGCAGGTAAGGACTCCCTTTTTCGGAAACTACTGGAGGATCTGCTCCCAGTGTAATAAGGTTGTAAATCAAAAAAGAGAAGGTAGTGTGGGATCCAGGAAGCAGAGGGTACAACACAACATAAGAGAGGAAAAGGAGACCTCCAGGATGACGGTGAAGGGAGATCCAAAGATGACAGGCCTGGAAAGCAAACAGTCTAGATTGGAGCAGGTAGGAAGGTCCAGAGAGTGCTTTCAAGTTAATAAAATTGATAGACTTATATAATATATTTGTTTGAATGCATTTAGAACAAAAGTTTGGGGTTGAATTAATGATAAATACATAGAACACCTGGCAGAGGAAAAGATCAGACAGTTATTAGCTGTACCAAAACAAGTGTACAGGAAGGAAAAAATAATCATAGTGTGCATCTTTGTTCAGCTGTAAATAGTATTTTATACAGTCATAATGTAAAATGCTGAATTTTTGTCTAGTCAAAAAAGATATAACCATTGGAAAGGTGTGGGGGGAGGGGAGGAAAGTTTATGGGGTAGGAGGTAACGGGGATGGAGAGGTATGTGTATGAAAGCTGAATCTTTATATCTTCTGTGTTGGGAAGTCAATGGATAATGGCTAAAGCTTTACAATCCAGAAAAGGCAATGTAGGAATGTTAGTTGAAGACCTGGAGGTAAATACTGAAATTCAGCTAAAAAATTTAAGTGATTGCGTCTGCATAAAATGAAATAGAGAATAAGGGCAGGGTAGCAAACTGCTCTTTTCATAGCAGACTCATAGAATGAATTGGCTCTTTATGATTTATTTTTCAAATAAAAATTTAAAAAATAAGTTCAATTTTAAAAATAATATAGATACAGCTGTACACAACAACATGGATTAATCTCACCAACATAATGTTGAGTGAAAGAAAACAGATACGAAATAGATTCCATTTATGAAATACACTATGAATTGCAAAATATGTAATAAATTACAAAAATAGACAAAACGAATCCATGATGGTATAGTTCAGGGGTGTGTGTGTGTGTGTGTGTGTGTGTGTTGGAGTGGGAGGAGGGGAGATGTCTGGTTCCTGGAAGAGAGCCATGGACATTTTTGTTTTATGCACTCTTCTTTTTAGGTAGGTTATACTTAATAAAACATCCCCCTGAAATAATACCTTCTAGAATAGACTGACATTGAAGCTTATATTTGAATTTTGAGGACAGTTTTTATGGTAACCTGTTATCATGTAATATTAAGCTACTAGAATAGTGGTCAGCAAACTACAGACTGGGCCAAATCCTGTCCATGGCCTGTTTTTTTTTTTTTATGTCCTTGAGCAAAGAGTAGTTTTTAGAGTGCTGTTTAAAAAAGAAGAGGATGAAGAAGAAAATGTAAAAGAAACTATATGTGGCCCACAAAGCCTGAAATATTTACTATATGCCTTTTACAGAACAAGTTTGCTGACCTTTGTACTAGAAAACAGAAAAAGTAATGCTTGTTATCCTAGGAGAAAGAAACCATGAAAGTTTAGTGGCGACTCAAGTTTTTGGTTTTCTTAAAATCTAGCTTCTGAAGATGGCTAAAATACTTCTTTTAAATTGTAGTTTCAGTAAGGTGGTTAGACTACTAAAAAGGAGTTTACTGAACATTGTTAAGCTTGAGTTTTTCTTCTGTTGCAGGTTGTAGGTGGCCTAGATATCCACAAAAAGATGGTGGTAGATGTGTGACTCTTCTTAAAGAGTACCACCCAACACTTTTGCTTTCTTCTCCATCTCTGAAGATCTGCTCAAGACGTCCAGCAATGCTCTCTGTGTATTTAAATGGAAGTATTTTTCTCTGTGAAGCCACATTTTCCAACATGAGCCTCATGAAGCCAACTAAGTGTTATTGAACTCTTACTCTCTCAATAACTCAGTGTAGCACTTTAAAGTCTGAAGGACAGCAACATGAAAAGAGCATATCAATGTGGTGGAGAAAGGGAAGGGGTTGGCTTTTTAATTTATTTTTCTTCATCTTTTATAACAAGAAAGTATCTATATATACATATGTAAATATTTATATATAGATATATGTAGCTTTCTATATATGTAGTAGGTTGGCTTTAATTTAATATACTTGATTGAGAAACAAAATGATAGAGTACAAAAGTGCCAAGCAGAACATAAAACATCCTTACTTTTATTTCACACAGTTTTATATATAGATAGAAGATTGTACAATTTGAGCCGGGTGTTAGGCCAGCTACTTTCCTTTTCCTGTGCTTTCTCCTTTGAGAGATCGACAAAGCATTTGTTAATGTCCTATTATTTACCTTATCTACATTTTTGTAACAAAGGAATCTGTAACTTTATTTATACCTATGAATATATTTCCAGGGGCTATGTCTCATTGCTGAGCAGCTTTTAATACATCTCTTGAGGAGAAAGTATAGTTCAGTGCGAATGCCAAGAGCTAGTTCTTGTGTTCATATAGTAACTGCACAATGCTTATGGCTGCTTCATTCTGTTACTTTGTAACTAGGAGCCATTGCATTTATTAAATGTCCCTGAGTAAATGTAAACTCTCAGTTTTGATTTTATAGGCCAGAAGCTATCTGAGGCAATCATGATTTATCTTATGCATTATTTAATGAATACCTGAAGTAATCACATAACTGCTTAGGATAACCGTTTGTATCCTTACATTAGTAAATAATTTGTTATTAAACTTGTGTTTGAACCATGAATTTTCCTTCTGTTTCAAAAGACTTGCAGCTAATCTAAAAAAACCCAAAACTGGTGATATTTAATGTGCATGTATGTATCTGAACACCCACATATTATTTGTGATTTAAATGGGAGAAATCTTACTGATCTATATGCTGCAGAAGAGCAAAATTTTATCCAAATTTAAACCTCTTAAATTTCTTTACCACAAGGCATAGAGAACGCATGATGGTTTTTTCTTGATTTGCCCATGTAAATTGGAAATGGATAACCTAATACATGTGTGTGATATAAAAGTAGTATATCATGTTCTATCACTGGACGTTATCCCTTCCCTTTTCTGCAAAGGTACTATTGGCTGGAAGAAAAACATTTTGGTAGCTTTGTATGACAGTAGTCTTTCCCTATATAGTTTTTCTATAAAAACTGGTTTTATAATCATGAGTGGAAAAAGGGCAGGTTGAATCAAGGTGAATGAATCTTAAATTGAGCACACCCTGCCTGCCATCGCTGTTCCTTCAACTGAGTGCTGCACATCATGGGCTCTGTCTGTGAGAGAAAAATCCCGGTGCTTGGTGTCCTTGCATGACATGGAGTTTTGCATGTAGATCGATTTAAAATGTACCTCTTGTTTACAATAATTTGCATAATTTTGAAGATAATGTTGCCAAACTTTGGAAATGTTAATGTTCAAACTGAAAATCTCCACTACATGTAACTTTCTTCCTCTGGATCAGTACGTGGCTTATAATCCCAGCCAGTGGTTTGATCTGTTCCAGTGTCAACTGCCATGTGCTCTGCTTCAAGGGGGAACTAGTCTTTTGTGAATTTTTTTGTACATAAGTTATTTGTTACAAATATTTTAGCAAATGCTTTCTATTTCTCTTGCTTGTGCATATCTTGGCTGGCGTTACAGAAAAATAGTGCAAACATTATTTCCTTACTGGGGAATGAGGGTTTTTTCTTTTTCCTTTTTTTTTTTTTTTAGTTTGTGTGTGGGGGTGGGTAGGGGAGGGGTGGTTTATGTTGAATGTTTAGTTTTTCTTCTGCATGATACGTCATGTTGTGGGATCTTTAGAAAACTTCATACTGTATGAATAAGAAAATAAAATATTTGAAACTTGCTTGAATGTATTCAGTGGTCTTTGGTGGGCTTCCAGAGCCATAAGATGTATTTTTTTCCCCATTCTCTTAGATTTTTAAAAAACTCTGATAAAGTGATGTTTGATCTTCCCCTACAAGCCATGAAATCTGCTTTGTCACTGAGTAAAAGAAAAAGTCATTACAAAACCTTTAGGACTCCACCCCCACCTTACACCCCTGATCTCATCCTTTATCCTGCTCTATTCTTTTTTCCTTTTTCCAAAACATTTATCCTTTCCTGACATAATTATGTATTTTGTCTTCCCTGGCTATTGAATAAAACGAATGAAAACTCCACAAGTGATTTGTCTCTAGTTCACTGATAGCTCCAATTGTCCAGAATACTACTTAGCTCTAGGGTTTACTCAGTAAATATTAAATGAATATGTGATACTGTTTACACAGGTTGTGATTTTATAATAAATGCTATTCAGCACTTTGTTACTCTACATAAAAAATAAACGTTAGTAGTTTTTGAGACTTTTCACTCATTCAGCAACTGTATAGAGTCCCTACTACATGTCTAGCACTGTAATAGGCACTGGATAGGTAAATAACATCCTTGGCCCAAATGACTTATGGGACATTGGGGATATTTTATACACAGAACACCCCTATTGTCAGGTATGCACTAGTTATGACACTGGATTCTGTAGCTCCTTCAAGTATCCTAGGAGTATAGGTTCCTTTAAGCCTAAGCAAGTAGATAAATTTAAGCCTTAGATATCTTTTTTTTTAACCTAATTATAACTAAGTCTTAAGAGTAGGCAAGTGAATTCTAGAGTGAAAATGACCCAGAGTAGGAGAAAATATTCACAAACCACATGTGATAAACGGAAAGAACTACAACTCAACAAAAATAAACTGATTAAAATGACAAAGGACTTGAACAGATATCACTGCAAAGGAGATACACAAATAGACTGACTGTAAGCAAGCACATGAAAAAATGCTCAGTGTCACTATTCATTAGAAAAATGCAAATTAAAGCCACAGTGAGATACGCAACATCCATTAGGATGGACTATTACCAAAACCCCCCCCCCCACAAAATAACATGTTGGGAAGGATGTGGTGGAAAAATTGGAACTCTTGTGCACTGCTGGTGGGAATGTAAAATGGTGCAGCCACTGTGGATCGTGGGTGGTATGGGGGTTCCTCAAAATATTAAACCGTTTCCATGTGATCCAGCAATTTCATTTCTGGGTATATAACCAAAAGTGAAATCAGGGACTCAGAGATTTTGTATACCCATGTTCACAGCAGTATTATTCTCAATAGCCAAAAGGTGGAAACAACCCAAGTGTCCATCAACAGGTGAATGGATAAACAAAATTTCTGACTGCTTTCATTAAATGCTATTTGAAAAATAAAACTCTTTCCCTCATATCAACCTTATGAGGTAGGCCTTCAATTTTAAAAGCTGCAAAACATGTATGAAGATTAGCTTGTATTGGTTCATATAGCATAGCCAAAACCGCTGCTTATAACCTGACTCTAAAATAGCCACACACTACCTGGTATTAAACTGAGCCACAGGGTCGGCCCTCTACTTGCTCTTTTTAACATTAGCCTAACTGCTTTGCAAATGTGATCTGACTTCCTAAATTCCCTATTCTTTACAAAGAAAACAACAAAGAATGAAACTGCTGTTACCCAGGATGAGGTTGCAAATGGCAGTTCTTGCCATCTTGATGTTTTGGAAAGAGCCAAGAATGTGAACTTTCCTGAAAGATAAAATGAGACAAGTTACCAACAAAAAGCATTTCCTTACCTAAGTCCTGTCCAAAAACCAGAAAATCATGACAGATCCAGGTTCCTAAATGAAGGTGGTGGTGATGGTTGCACAACTTTGTAAATATACTAAAACCACCTTTTAAAAGAGTGAATTTTATGGTATGTGGGATTTTATGGTATACCACCATAAAAATTATTAGGACAAAAATGAAAAACGAAAGTTCTTTAAGATTCCTGGTTAATAATGGCTACCATCCAGTAAGTGCCTTTTATGTGCTAGGGGTCTGTATACATGTTCTCACTTAATCCTTGCATGAGCTTTATTAGGTAGATGTTATTCCCATTTTACAGATGAGGAAAGAAGTTTCTGAGAAATCAAGAAACCCACCCAAGACTACACACTGGTAGAATGGGTTACTTAATACCCAGAAATGCAAGTAATATTGTACTTAATTACAACACATTTGGGTTTCATCTGCAAATCTTTCCAGAGATTATCTAAACTTCTTCAGTACTCTGAGGATCATCCAGACCCCTTTAACAGGATTCCTTATTGAATGATTCAGATAAGATAGACAATACAGAATTTTGCTTTTTGGAGTTCATCTTCTAAAATGTTTTCACTGTGCCTTCTATAATAGTGACCAGTTAAATCCTCTACCTTCAACATTGCTTTAACTAAAACCCAGCTCTCAAGTGGTGGCCAGTTTTTCCTCCACAAACCATGTACCACTGGGCCTGGAGGAGGTGCTCCTTATGCCACATCCAAACCACTTGCTTTCTGCCCTCCTCCCTAGAATCGATTCAGCTTTGAATCTGGTCCCTTCAGACCACATCACCTACTACCACACCTTGCTGCAATCCTTAGCTGCCCCTGTGGGTCATCCTTGAACACTTAACTGACTTACTATCTTTCTCTGACTACTCTCATCACAATGCTTGATAATTTCAGTATACACAAAGATGAAAATTCCAATACCCTAGCCTCTTGGGTCCTTGATATCCTTTATACCAATATTGGACCTTGTTTTCCACCCTACTCCAGCCTCTCACTTCAAGGTCACACTCTGAACTTGGTCATTACCAAAAACTACAACCCCTCCACAATATCTATGTCAAACTAGAGTAGGAGAAGGGG